AGATGGCGGCTGCCTCGCCCCAGGCCGCCGGGAGACGGCCCTGACTGGTCTGAGGCTTCAAAATCCATTAATTGGGGTCAATATTCATTAAAAAATTGCACTGACAAACTCTTTTAAGAGCAGCCTTATCTTACCACTCTGGATGTGATGCTCTAAATGCTTCCAGTGAACAAATCACTTCCCTGCTTGTGGCCCCGCCACAGTTCTGGGGAAAAAATGTGAAATGCTGGTGATCCTGTTCTTTAATCGCGGTCGATTTCTGATAGTGAAATTAAATGGCAGCTGTAACATCCAGGGGATACTGCGGGACTTCGATCCCTTCATGAACCTCGTCATCGATGAATGCGTGGAGGTGGCGTCGGGAGGAGAGCAGAACGACGTCGGCGTGGGGTGAGTGCTGCTGCTGAAAGGAGTGGAGGGGGACTGGTGTGCGTAAAACGAGCTGGATTGTGAGAAGTGGATGCGTTTGCCATCATCACAGAACAATCCTTGGGGTTTTGGGGTTAAAAAACAGCGTTCATCCTTGTGGGGGGAATTGATGTGGATTTTTGGTGCAGAATTAGCTTTTTTTAAAAAAAAAAAAACAAAACATGAGGGAGGGGACCTGCAGAGCGGTGGGGAACCAGCGTCTCACCGGCTGCTCTGAATTTTCACTTTTAGGTGATGTGAGGAAACAGCACCGTTATGCTGGAAGCCTTGGAACGAGTATAGCGCCGGAGAAACCTGCATCAGTACCAGCTGTGACGAGTCCTCACCCGCCTGTTCTGTTACTCATTGAATCTGCTGTGAAGCGTCCCCGAGCATAAACTTATTTTTCTTTTTGTTAAATAAATTTTGTAATGGTTGATGTAACTTATGTCGGTTCCTTTTTTGGGTAACAGGGCCGTGCTGGTTCTTGAGGGCAGCGGGGGCGGTTGTTAATTCTGCTCCCCGTGGCTTTAAAACTCTGCAAAGACTTTCAGGAGGCTTATTTAAGTGGATGTTAAATCGGTGTTATTTTTGGGGTCCTTCCCCTTCATATCTTGTAAAAAATTATCTACAAAGTTGCATCCTGTTTGTTCAGCGGGTTATCGATTCCAAATTGGCAGGAAATTGGTAAAAAGAGTGACGCAGAGTATTTGTGCCAAGCTGGGCTGCCTGAAAGTAGAATTATATTTTTTAATAATGTTTTTTACTCATCACAGAGTTTTTTAACAGAAGAAAGGTGCTAAGTGCTCTCTCCAGCACCGTTAAGGGTCCCAAAACCAGTAGAAAGTTTTAAGCAGAGCTGAAATGGCTTTCTCAGAAAATTTCGAGCGATTGCTACACCACGTGTACAAATCCTGAGCTTCCCCTTCCGACTTTACTGAGCTGGTGCAAGGGAAGTGTTCTGCTGGGATAGAAAGTGTTCAGTGCAGGCTGTAAGTACAATAATCTCTTTATTTTTTTAGCTTTTATTGCTGCTTTGCCCATCATGGACTACACCATCAGCGCTCTGCGAGACAGAGCAACACACCTCACACACGTGTGCGCTCCCTCAAGGCAGCAGCACCAGCTTCCTCTCCAATCAGTGCATTAATTTAATTATTAAACCCTAATTTTTACATTCAGACGTGGTTGAGGTATCGCAGCGATATTAGATAGAGTCAAGGGGCACAATATTCTCAAGAAAAGGGTTTTTTACCTTGTTGGGTCAGGTTGTCTGAATTATTAACGCTTTCAAACTTTGACAAAGCGAAGGATATCGGGTTTTTTTTCGTGCCCACCACCCGTTTTGGCAATTCCTGCGCTCCCAGCGAAGCAGCCCCCCACCACCCGTAAGCTACAGCACTCGTTCCAGAAGCAAATTAAAAACGCAGCCCCCCGCTGCGCTAGTCCCACCCCAAGGAATAACTACTCAGAAGATACCTGAGGCAGAGAGATTTACAGTCAGGAAGTTTCTATTCCCTGCCCCAAACACATCCGGAGAGGGAAAGATCCGTGCATGGGTTCATCACAGTGATGCGGATCCTGAGTTTGGCACGTTCCTGACCGTGGAGGGCACTTCTGGGGTCAATATGGCATTTAAAAAAAAATTCTTTAATCTCACGTAGGGATAAATTGAGGATTTTTCTTGAGGAAGGGCCAGAGGAGTTTGCTCGAGGAAGGGCCAGCTCGCTTGGGAAAGCTTCCTCTGCTTTTTTACCACTTTTTTAGTGTCTCAAGTTGGCTGGTGTCTCCTCTTCGGGGCTAATCAAGGAGTTCCTCGTTCGTTAGCTTTAATTGTGGCTAAACAGCTACAGTAGGTGATCCTGATCTCCGGGAAGCTCCCACGAGCTTGGGGCCGTTGTCTCCATGGGGCTCAAAGCTCCGTTTTCAGCTTCTCGTGCAAATCCTCCTGGTCGATCCTGTCGGTGTTCCCGTACCAGCGGTGGTAGGCGAGCAGGGCGGCGTTTTTGGCGGCGATGGCGCTCATCTCCATGGCGCTGGCGGCTCGCTCGATGCCGTTCAGGTAGTAGATGTTGTCGTGGAGGATGATGGGAGGACATTTTTCCGGGGGGCTGTAGTGGGGGTACGCCAACCATTTCTTCACTTTGATGGAGTCGTAAGAGGAGAAAAGCAAGTTAAGCTGCTCTTTGGTGAGAACCTCCTTCGAAAAAACCTTCCAGACGGCCGATTGCAAGGGTAGCTTTCCTTCGGTGCCAACATTTTCCACGGGAGACACCACCCCCAGGCTGTTGATGAACAGTTTGGGATTTTCCGTCGTGAAAATGGCACCGAAATGAAAGGCGGACGGATCCCGGTAGCCAAAGAAAGAAGCGTTTAAGCGGCCGTGCACCAATGTCGTGACGGTCTGGTGGTAAGGATTTGGGAAATCTGGGACGGGAGGGTCGAAGTTTTTGAAGGTGATGTTGGCCATTTTGCGGCTGAGCGGAGCGGCGATGACAACGATGTCGTACGTGTCCCCCGTTGGTCCCACCGTAGTGTTGTACGTGACGTGGTAGAGCTTCACCGGATCCCCTGGGGAGAAAAGCTCCGTTATCCCACTCTGTGCCTGGAGGAAATCCCCTTTTCCCCTCTGACAAACATCAGGCTTTTAAAACACCGTCATGTTTAGGCTAATTATGCCTTGTTGCGAGCTGAAGTAGCTTTAAAAAATAAACTGGGGCTTTGTGCAGACCCCATTTTTCATCTTAAAAGCCCAAGACACAATTTTTAAAGACCTGGTCTCCTGCTTCAGCCTGCCAAGGGCTGCAGCCGAACGGCACCAGAGGCCAACGTCGGTCTCCGGCTGTCGCAGCGTGCTGTTCCCCTCCCCACCGCAGGGAAATCCAACCCAACTCACCTGTGCGTCTGGGTCTGGTTTTTGGCTCAATAGACAAAACCGTCCCAGGGATAACCTCAGCTTTGGAGGCGTAGAGAAGACCAGTGCAGACCAGTTTGTTCCCCCCTTTTACTGACCAAAGGCCTGATTCCACCCCTGCCAGAGAAACCGCACCTACGAGGAAACCGGGATTATTAGAGAGGTTTGTTCGGTGGTGTGTTGTAGAGGAGCACCTAAAACAAAGTGGAAAATTAAGGGGGAAAAATCTCTCTTTGGGTCACAGAGCTTGCTGAAGGGCAAGGTCCTTGTCGTGGTCGTTTCACCTTCTGTACCCCTTTTCCCACGGGGGGGGTAACCCACCGAAACACTCACCCACAAAGCTGTTGATGTTGACACCTTGCCCGTAATTAACTCTCATGGCCGGACAAACCATCTCGTTGATGAACTTGTAGGAGAAGCCGGCGTTCTGCATGGCTTCGTCGATGGTTTGGTTCAGCATGCGGGTGAAGTCGTTCCCTCCCAGGGCGTGGAGCAGGCGCTCGTTGCTGCTGAAGGCGTAGTCGTACGTCTGGTAGCGATAGATCCTTCCATCGGAGAAAATAAAGAGGTTTGAGGATTTTTGTGTCTCAGGAAGGGAACACACAGGTTCGGTCACTGTTAATTCTCTTTTTTGGCCTCGAAAGATGTGGAAAGAGCCTGAGAGCCTCCCGGGAGCAGCCAGGCTCATCCTTCCAGCTGAGCCCTAGCCTAAGGGGTACACGGCTAAGGAGATGTGGACCTTCGCTGTTCATTTGACGATCTTTCCTAGCAAAAACACTTTGTGCACAGTTCTGCATTTAATTCTCTTCAGCCCTTGGATGCCAGATCAATGGGACCGCAGCCTCATATTATTGCTAGACCCATTTGAAGATGACAGCGCTCATCTCCATCTTTTTCCTTAGGAAAATGATCGGCGACGGAGAGGACAACCAGAGACTCCTTTCTCAACGGCGATGGGATGATTTCACCCATTTTTACAGCTCAGCACCAGGTTTCCCACCTTTTCCCCCAGCTGCTTTCCCACCTTTTCCCTCGTAGGGACCCAACGTACCGCATGAACTTGTCCAGGATGTCCTCCACCCACATGTACATCCGCAGGGGGTTGAGCCCGTAGCGCCAGAGGAGCTTGAGAAGGTTGCCGATGTACCAGCTGCTCTCCTCGAACACGAACTCCTCCCCGTTGTAAATGCCCATGAGGCTGCCGTGTGCTGGGGCAACCGAGAGGCCTTGAGGAACAGGGTGAAAAAGGTGATTTAATGAAAGGTAGAGCTGGTGTTGAGATAAACTATATGACACCTCGATTTTAACTTCCCGAAACAACCCAGGTGTGCTTTGATAAGGGTGAGCAATTAAAGCGTGGATCCCCGCGATGTGGAGAGGGGAATTAGCTCCTGACCAGGAGCCAGGCAGTTATTCGCGGTGACTTTTGGACTTTCTGATGGGATTAATACATCACCCACGGGGGAAGGGGGTGTCTCATTTCCTCTGGGATGTGGGTTGCCTTTTCTTGGCGGGGTGGGCAGGGGTACCGCAGGGGGATTATTGGGGGAGGGATACTGGGGAAGGATATGAGGGTAGGGATATAGGGGGGGATATTGGGGAAGGATGGGGGGATACTGAGGAAG